GGGGGGGAGGGTTAGGAAAATACTTGTGGTGCTAGTGGTAATGATTTTTCCAAATGACTTATATAGAACCACCAATCCATAGGAAAGTTCAAAAATGCATCTACAATAGATGAGCAGTGATGCCTTATCCAGTTTGATGCCCATATGAAATAATTAGCCTTTAGCCCAACCATTACCTTTTCGATCTATGTTGACAACACAAAGCCACTGGACAGAGTGCCCTTCCAGGTTATGCCAAGTTGCAATTTTGCTGGCCAGCCAGCCGTCCAATCCTGGCAGAACTTCCCTGTACCTTGGTATGTTAGCAAGTATCATTTTGCCAACACCATTTCCTTGTGACAATGTCTCCCCTGTGGCCTTCAAACTCATATGCTGCATGCATTTGTTATGTTTCCCATTTACCTTGGGAATCTGAATACTAGTTCTACGGAGTTGGAAATCTTCAGTACTCATACTTGCAGATGATGTCTCCATAACATTATTGAGGATTTTCTCCCACGAATGTTTGGTTTCCTTAGAATAATCTGCTAATTCTTCCAATCCATTGTCACCTTCAGACTCGGCCGCAAATTCCTTTACCGAATCCACTGTTATTTCAGTTGCTGATAATGCAGCTTGCTCTCTCAAGAACTGAGGACAAGATGAGCACCACATTAGTTAATCTACAATAGTGGTAATACTACACACACAATTTCCATTTTAGGTATGCAATAAACACCTACTTTCATAATCTTGTGCCGGGCACTACGAGTTTTTGCATGTTGAAGCCACTCTTTCTGTCTCTCAAAAGCAGACTTGCTGGAAAGACCCTGAAAAGGTAAACAGCCAGATGCTTGTAAACACCAGCATGATGAACTAATAAGTTGGCCGCATCAAGTAACAATTTACTAGGCTTACAAAAAGTAAAATAATGATGATACTACACATATAGGTTGCTCCGTACTCCAAGGCACAAAAATCCAACAACTTGAAGTTAGCTACAATAAATCCAATTTCAGACTAAAGATAGCTAATCCTTGTGTTAGAAATTAGTGTTTGATGGTGATATCTACTATCTTTTTGGTACACTTACGTGCATAATTAAATGACAGAAGCACAATAATACATAAAGAAAACCTTTTTTTATATGATAAATTCACCTGGAACACCTCAAACACCCCAATAAAAATCATGGCCGGTTCCCGCTTTGTTCCGTAGGTGATCAAATTCCCAACCTTATGGTTGGAGGTGGCAACCTTGCTAGTAGACTATCCTCCCTTGCCAACAATACATATTGAAGCATGACAAGTTTAAATGTCAATAGCACAGGAGGGAGGTGCAAGAACTGAAGATTTAAATGGAAAAGGAAAACCAAAAAGATACATGCTTTACATATTAGAAACAATTGAACTTTATCTTCTTTTATTTGATAAGTAATAGCTGAACTTTATCTGCATAACCTTGTGAGTAAGCTTCAGCCAAAACCACAAAGAATTGCTTTTCTTCCACCCATATTGCTTAAACTCTAAGGTTTAGATGATATTTAGAATGTTCAGAATTACAATACATATAAGACATGATTAACTGTCTCAGCAAGACAAAAACAATGAAAATGTAACAAGCGCAGAGCTGCCCACAAAGGAAGGAGGAGGAAGAAATTTAGAGAAGAGAGCATAAGCAAAAGAAGGTACGGAATTCATAGCAACTAACATTGTAGGTAATAATCTCTACGACCTCTGCGTTTGCAAGTACATGCAATGGAGAGACAAGATTACCATTCACCTGCAAACAGAAGATGCTGCAATCACATCCAGATTCATTAAGCATTAAAAACAGATAGTAACAAGAATAAAACCTTTGCGGCCACCATTTTATTGCCAATTTCAGTGTGTATCATATACGCGTAATCAATGACGGTAGCACCCTTTGGGAGATGTTTTATCTGCAAAGAGCAAAGTGGTACAATGATAATGTAACAAGACCCAAAAAGGCAACAAATTGAGTAGAAATATCACGCAGATTTTACCTCTCCTCCGGGTGTAAACACAAAGACACGACTACCCAACAGATCTCTGGTAATAGTGTCCACAAATTCCCTAGAACTCATGTTTCCGACGAACTCTTCTTGCCACTCCCTAATTGCATTCAGCCAGCCAATCTACAGCAGAAAAGGACTTTACCAACAACAACAAGAACTGCGCCTCAGTCCCAAACAAGTTGGGGTTGGCGGTATGAATCCTTATTCCTTTCATACATCATTACCAAAATAAAATAAAAGTGCAAGTAAAAAGAAGATAGATATATATAAATGATAGTAGTAGTAGTAGTAGTGCAAGTAATAATAGAAATTTTCTACCAAGTCTAAAACCTATTCCCAACTAGTAATAATTATAGATGAAGACCACACAGCTAATAAGGCACTAGACAATTTAACAAAAGCAACAGACTTATACCCTGAGAGCAATATTGGCATTGTTAAGGCAGACTATTTTCCCTCGTGAACTTCTACCATTGGTTATAACATGCCCAACTAAGCCATTTACAAAACCTTTCCCACTGTAATGCGCAGCAATGCCTCTCTCAGCTATCAGGTCCATCTCTTCAGTTCTTATCTGCCAAACATTATGCAAGTATAATCAAGCTGCTAGAAGATAAGCAGAACCAAATAAATGCTAACTTGTCAATAGACCATAAGACAAATTCCAAAAATCAGAAAGTAAAATGTCAAAGACATTTCAATAGGATTTTTTTTATATTTTTAAAAAGACTCTTAGGATATATA